GAGATACTGTATTTCCAAAGGATAAAATTCTTTCTCAAAGAATAACAGATTTTGAGCTTTATCTAGTGAGAAATTGTGATGTTCCAATGTGTTTCAAAGCTATGACCAAAAAATTGCACAGCTTCATTGAGTCAAAGATTCTTTATCTATAAAAAAGAACAAGTCTGCTCTTAAGGCTACTTTGGAGACTAATGACATAATGACACATATAGATGTATATTTAAAACTACCAAGTGCTATTTATAAAGTTAGTGATCTCTCTCACTATCTCTAATCTGTCTATCTATCTATCAATCATCTATCTATCTATCTATCTATCTATCTATCTATCTATCTATCTATCTATCTATCCTGTTGTTGCTAAGTGCCATGGAGTCATAGATGACCCATAGCCACCCTATAAACAAAAGACCTGAACATGTATATCTTTCATCATTTCTCTAAGTTCATAGTTTCTGTAGGCAAGCTATTTCAGAAGTGGTTGACACTCCTGCTCCCAAGCCTGTTTTAATTTGGGAGCTTCACCAAACACTGTCTACCATGGGTAATCATTATCACAATTGACACATCAGTGTCACAGTGTTTACCATCACAGCAACCATGAGTTACCTCTGTACAACAAATTGACAGATCAGTGATGTAATACTTAGAATAATGTTTGACTGAAAACAATAAAACCCAAATGCCTATTTAAATACAAGGTCAAATCTAATCACCTCACACCCAATTGTGAGCCTCAACCAAAACAGAAAACACAAAACGCACTTTTGTAGAATCCATCTGCTCCACTCATTTTACACACACACACACACACACACACACACACAGAGTTGTAAAGGGGCTTCCAGCCTTTTTTTTCATAGGGTTGCTATGAGTTGTGCTTGACTCAAAGGCAATCAACAAACATCCTATCTATCTATCTATCTATCTATCTATCTATCTATCTATCTATCTATTCTACGAACAACAGCCCTAAACCCTGTTCTGTCTTGTGCCAATCTCACTGTCTCTGGCACATCCACCCTGATTACCCCAGTCACTGAATCAATCCACCTCATAAAGGGTCTTCTCCTATGCTGTTCCTCCACCCTCCCAAGCATGATGCCCCTCGCCAAGGATTGGTCCCTCCTTGCAATATATCCAAAGTATGTCAGACGAATCCTCAGAATCCTTGCCTCCAAGAAGCAGCCTGATTTAACTCTCTCCAGGATGAATCTGTTCATTTTCTTAGCAGTCCATGGTATATGGCACTTTCAATATTCTTCTCCATCACTATAGCTCAAAAGCATCAATTTTCCTTCTATCCTCCCTAGTCATTGTCCAGCTCTCTGATGCATAACAAGTGATTGCAAAGACCATGGCCTGTATCAGACGCACCTTAGTCTCCAGAGTGACAACTAGTATAAAAGAAGAAAAAAATTGGAAGAGACAATCTGGTCAACCAACTGGAGCAGATGCATACTATATGGATCTTTGAGAAAAGATAAACTGGGAAAGAGAGCAGATAGAGAAAGGAACACTCTCAGCTCTCAGAAATAGATTGATACAGTGACTGCAACAATGGATTTGAGCATATCTGAGATTATGAGGATGGTGAAGGATTGGACAAGTTTCAGATAATAACAAGAACAAAAGAAAGATTATCCAACAGAATGTTCGACACATTAATTACTAAAGATCACTAATATCACACACTCACACACAAGTACAATTTTGCAGAAGATAATTCAGAAATGGCTACAGTGTTTAATAGCAAACTACTAGGAAGATAAACAAGATTCAGAAGATGTCGGATGAGGAATATCATTGCAGAGGTTAAATTAACATTGGCTGGAAGAAGAGAATACCAGAAAAAGATGTGCTGCTGTTTTTAGGTGCAGTCAAGTTGAGTACAACTCATAGCAACATTATGAATGACCATCCTGAACTCTGACTTTTCCTATGCCATCCTTAAAATCTCTGAAACACTCAAGCTTATTGCTGAAAATGTATACATTGATTTAAATGATATTGCAAAATTATGTGGATCATAACAAAAATGGACGATAACACAGTGAAGAATGAAAATTTCATAACACTTAATTGTGCTCTCATAAAACTTAATATATGCCAAGAAGAATTTGTTTTAAAAAAAGAGAAACACACACACACACACACATACACACACGGGCATACTTTAAGATTTTAAAACAAGAAATGAGTGTGTTAGAGTTATGTCTTTTCACCATACTTATTCAGTATGTTTTCATAACAACTAATCCAAGAAAAGAAGCTGGACTATATGGAGAAGAGAGTGGTTTTAAGATTAAAGGAAAATTCATTAATAATCTATGATATTCAGATGACTCACCCTTACTTTGTAAAAGGAAAAAAAAAAGACTTGAAGTACTTTCTGAGGAAACAAGAAAACTGTACCTTTAATATGGATTGTGTCTCAGTATAAATGAAACAAAAACCTTCATAACTTGACTAACAAGCGGCATTGTGTTAAATGAAGAAAATATTGAAGGTCTCAAGTATTTCATTTCCTTTAATCCACACTTAATGCTTGTTGAAGCAACAGTGAAAAAAATTGAACGACATATTGCACTAGGATAATCTGTTGCAAACATGTTTTGAAAGCTTTAAAAAACAAAGATCAGTTTGAGAACTAAGGTGTTCCTGACACAAGCCATATGACTTTTAAATTGTCTCACATGCCTGTAAAAGCTAAGCAATGAATAACAAAGACTGAGGAAGAATTTATGCCTTTGAATTATGACACAGGTAGAATATTGACTATATCATGGATTTAAAAAGAATAAATAGATCTGCCAGAGAAGAAGTGCAGCTTACGTGGTGTCACAGATTATTGTTCAAAATGGCTCTTAACTATTAGTTTTTATTTTCAGCATGTAGATGAGTGAGAAGATGAACTAGGTGTGTGGAAATGTCTTGTGATGGGATTGGTCAATTTCCCCATCATGCCAGGTTTAATTTGAGCAGAGGCAGGAGACAGCAAGACAGAAGAAACAGAAAATCCAGTGAGTGAGTAACATTTAGGGCAGACTGGGATTTATATGACAGCTGCAACCGCCTCAGTGGAGAGCCAGAGACTAACATGAGTGGAGATTTCATAATTAATAGGACTAAGAGAACTTTGGAACACTGTAAAAACTGTAGGCATGAAGAACAAAAGGACTGGGAGCACTCAAGAAGTTGTCCTGACTGAGGAACCGTAGTCTGTTTATAGAGGTGAGGTAGAGTTTTTACATGTTGGTTGTTGTTATTTGTCATCAAGTTGCTTGTGACTCCAATGTACAAACAGCTCTAGGATAAACTTGTTTGTTCTCCTATTCTTCTAGCAGTTCATGGTATATGCAATACTCTTCTCCAGTAACACAGCTCAAAGTCATATATCTTGGCTGAATGCAGAGAGTACCAAAGGAATGCCTACATATGTTTCATCGACTATGCAAAGGCATTTGCTTGTTTTTAATAGTATGTATGGCTAAAATAATACATAGATAGGGAACTGGTAGAAGTTACAGCAGGATTTAGAAGAGGCCATGGAACCATATATATCATTGCTGATGGCAGATGGATCCTGGCAGAAAGTAAAGGATACCAGAAGAAGAATTCTATTTATGTTGTATTGACTATGCAAAGAATTCTGACTAGGTAGATCATGGCAAGTTGTGGCTGCTATTGAGAAGAATGGGAATCCCAGAGAACTTAATTGTGCTCATGAAAAACAAAGACCTGAAGGCTATTGTGTGAACAGAGCAAGGGAATACTACATGATTTAACATTAAGAAGAGAGTGCATCAGGGTTTTATTCTCTTTCCATACCTAGTCAATATGTATGCTAAACAAATTATTCGAGAATCTGGACTCTGTGAAGAGGATTGTGGCATCAGGATTGGAGGGAGACTCATCAATAAACTGTGTTATGCAGATGACACACTGTTACTTGCTAAAAATGAAGGGGACTTGAAGCCCCTGTTGCATAAGATCATAGAATGCTGCCTTCAATATGGATTGAGTCTCAATGTCAAGAAAATAAAGATTCTTAGCAATGGACTGATAGGCAGTGCCAAAATAGGTACAGAAAAGATTGAAACTGTTGACAATTTTATCTTCCTTGGATCCAAAATTAACCCCCTTAGTACCAGTAGTCAGGAAATGAGGAGATATATTGCACTGGGAAAGTCTGCAGATAGGAACGTCTCCAAATTTGAGGTGTAATGATGTTAGTTTAAGGACTAAAGTGTATCTGATTCAGGCCATGTTCTTTCTGATCACTTACTATGCATCTGAGAGCTGGGCAATGAGCAAGGATGACATAGAATTGATGTCTGTGAGCTGTTGATATTGAAAAAGAGCACTCAACATCCTATGGAAACTGCCAAAAGAACAAACATATCTTGGAGAGGGTGCAGCCAGAGTGATCTTTGGAGACAAAGATGATGAGGCTTCACCTCATATACTTTGAGCATGTTGCTAGGCTGGTTTTTGTTGTTGTTTGTTTGTTTCTGTTATTTTTGTGTATGTGGTTTTTGTTTTGGGGTTTGTTTGTGTGTTTTTTTTTTTGAGAGGGATGTAATGCTCAGAAAGGTAAAGGGTTGACCATCAATTACTCATATGCACGTTCAAATTGAAGCTAAAGAAAATGAAAATGTGTCCACAAGAGCCAAAATATGACCTTGAACCATTGCTTCTTGAATTTAAAAATCATCTCAGAGCAAGTTTGAGGCATTGAACGCCAATAATTGAAGACCAGAGGAGCTGTGGGATGGCATCAAGGATATCATCCATGAAGACAGCAAAAGTTCTTTGTAAAGATAGAGGAGAAAGGGGGGGAAAAGCACCACACACACACACACACACACACACACACACACACACACACACTCTCTCTCTCTCTCTCTCTCTCTCTCACAACAAAAGGCTTATCAGAAGAGACTATAAACGTTGCATAAGGGAAGCAGGGGCTGGCCTTCCAGCGACAGCAATGCAAGATGGCAGGCACCACGGGCTCGGGAGTAAAAGTCCCTCGCAATTTTCGACTGTTGGAAGAACTGGAAGAAGGCCAGAAAGGAGTAGGAGATGGCACAGTTAGCTGGGGTCTAGAAGATGACGAAGACATGACACTTACAGGATGGACAGGGATAATAATTGGGCCTCCAAGAACAATTTATGAAAACTAGATATAAAGCCTTATAATAGAATGTGGACCTAAATACCCCGAAGCACCCCCCTTTGTAAGATTTGTAACAAAAATTAATATGAATGGAGTTAATAATTCTAATAGAGTGGTGGACCCACGAGCCATCTCCGTGCTAGCAAAGTGGCAGAATTCCTACAGCATCAAAGTAGTTCTGCAGGAGCTTCGGTGCCTAATGATGTCTAAAGAAAATATGAAACTCCCTCAACCCCCGGAAGGACAGTGTTACAGCAATTAATCAGAAAGGAAACCCACAGGCCCTCCCTCTCCCCCGTTCAATGTAAGCAGTCTTCATTTTCCACAGTAGTCAGTTTTCTAGGTATGTCTTGTAGACCTCAGAAGTACTGGAAAGGAAGCTCCCGTTCAAGGGCAATTTCTCTTAAGATCCTGTAAATGATACTAATTCTTTGTGCATTTGAAATACCTCAGTTGTACTCTAACAAATCATCCTGTCAAGTGTAACCACTGTCCATGTAGTTGAACTCCTGGGATCAAGAAAGTCTATTTAAATCGATTTCCCATCGTAAGTGGTGGGGCACATCTAACTCAACTGTGAAGAGACACGTCACACAATCACCTTGCTGCTGATACATGGCCTGGTGTCTCTACCTTCTCCCCTTCCCCCTCCCCTGCCTCCAGCCCCCTCTCCCTGCAACAGCCCTCAAGCTCAGGGAGGCTTCTTAGAATAGATGTGAAGGTTTCGGGTCACAGCCTATGGGACTACTGCTGGGTGCGTAAGTCCTAAATGGTGCCCCCATTCCAAGCCATCCTTCCCCTCTCCCCTCCCACCCCTGGCCGAAGCATAGATTGTAATCCCCTCAGCTCCCCTCTCAAATTGGCCTTTGGTGAGAAATTCAGGGCTTTCCCCACAACTTCTCTTCCCCTACAGGATCGAGGGGTGCTGCTGCTGCTGCTTTCCTCCTCCCAGAGCCCCTTCCTGCACCTTCACACCCCACACTTCCTGCGACACTTCCTTGCTTTCGCCAGAAGCCATCAGGGAAGGTTGGAAAGAGCCTTTGATCTCCCTCTTTTCGTTTTCTAACCACACCGATTTCCTCTCCACCGACCTGGGACACGAACACGGGGCCCTCAGCCCTGCCACCCTCTGCTGTCATCAGCTGATGGGTTGTTTTAGCTCAGGTTTTGATACGGTGGCAAGAACGGTCACCAGGGTTCCTCAGACCTGCCAGCTCTCAAAGTCCTTGGTGGTTAAGCTTGGAGAAAGGCCACATGAAGACACTTGTAAGCACACA